CCTCTGCCGAACTTCACATATTTTGTGCATTATTTGTGCTAATCTATACACTTTTAAAACGTTTTTAAATTCAAAAATGGGACACGCATACATTTGTCTAGTTTACAATTACAAAATGAAATTGGTATATATATATATGTATATATGGTGTTAAAACTTTAATAAGTCATAAGTTTATCTTCAATAGTCCGTTGATGAAAATTCTTCACATGGATATTTTTACAAATATATATATATATGTATATATAAATGTTGTTTTGGCTTTGAATTTTTATTATTTTGCATAAATCATAAAACACATGACCAAAAATTCATGTCATTTAGTCCACATCTTGAGAAAAAGTTCCAATTCTATTGTATTGAAGCATAATTTAATGATATCAAATATATAGTTGCCTTTTCATATATGTTTTCTTAAAATTAGTTACAAAATAAGACAATATGTCTATTTGTTAGAATTCTTTTTAAAATTCCATATTTAATATTAATCTTATTTTAAAGTTTTCAAAAAGATGAATCTAAAAATATCATTTATATTAAAAACATATTTATGTAATTAAAATTAGGGTACACAGACTATAAATCAAAATTTGGATTTCTTTTGTCTAAAGGACCACGCCCGAAACTACGAAGTCCATAAGGACACTTCTGATTTCTATATAACATAAAACCATTTCTCACAAACCCACTTCTCTCTCTCTCTCTCTCTTTCTCTCTCTCTCTCTTCTACGACTCTTATTTTTCGTCTCCTCTCTCTCTCTAATGCTGAAGAGACGAACCAGACGGAGACTAGAGTTGACGATGACAGCGTCGAAGGTCTAGATTGAGTCTGATCTCCTTCTCCATCCTCCTCACCATCACCTCATAACCGCCAATTTGACCCACTGCTCATCATCGCCTCCAACTCTACCGATGTCACCACCTCATTCTAAGACTCTCTCCTACCCCGATCTCTCATTGTCTTTATCTCTCTCTCTCTCTCTCTAAGTTCACAATCACTCATTTCCTCTGATCTGTGTGTTTCTTTTTTAAAACCCTAGATCTCCATCCCTCTCGGTCGGCGCCTCAAAGAATCGCAATCGCATGTAAATCTTGTTCCTTTAAAGTTTTAATATAGCGATTTTGGTTTAAGACTCGACTCATTTGATATTCTGGATTCGGATTTTATGGTTTTGTATTGTTGTTCTTGTTTTATTCCTATTTTCTCTACTTGAGTTTGACTTTTGGGATGTGTTGGTTATGTTTGGAATATGTTGGTACCTTGTTTTTCAGAAACCTTGTTGCCCAGAATTTTGCTTCTATGCTCGAGCGCCACTTCTTGCTCTTGAGCTGGCTTTGTAAACTCTCAGTACTTTGCAGGTCTACAAAACTACTAGGACTTGTTATTCTTCGCTTGAGCGAAGCTTCTTATGCTCGAGCGAAGCTTCTTACGCTTGAGCGGTATTGCGCTCGAGCTCCCCTTTTTGCTCTCGAGCGTTGGCCTTCTATTTGTAAAACTATTGAGAGTGTGTATTCTATGCTCGAGCGTCACTGCCTACGCTTGAGCAGTGACGTCTTTTTTATTGTGTCTTGGCGCTCGAGCGTCACTTCTTGCACTCGAATAGACTGTGCGTATATTAGTTCATAAAAATCACTTTTTATATCACTTTTTGATATCTCTTTCTCTCTAAACTTTCTAAAAGTTGAGACCCTCTCTCTCGAAAACTCACATTCTCACTTCTAAAACACTTGGATCCATTGATTTCTCTACCCTATTCCCTTTGTTAAAAAGGTAGAGTTCACCTAGAGTTTCATTTCTATCCAAATAGAGTTGGGTTTTGGCTTCATTCGAGTTTCATCTGCGTTTGTTTCGTCTTCTAGCTTTGAGGTAGGGATTCTCTACACTCTTTTATGATTTTTAACTTAGCTATTTATTTTTATAAAAGAATCTTGTGATTTTGAAGGATTTTGAACAAACCTAGGATTTTGGTTTAAAATCAAAAGCGGGGTTTTCAAATGGATGTATTAAAGATGGTTGTGAGATTGGAAATGGGGGTGAGTTGTGATAAAATTGTTGAATTGATACTTGGAATGGATTTTGGAAGAAAAAATGGATTTTGCCCTAAATGTCCCAAATATTTATTTTGTATAAATAAATAGAATTGATGTTGGAAATGTGAAATTGGATATATATTCATATGGATAGTGAAGTTGGATATGTATTATTGTTCACATCTTGAAATTGGAATGTTTGTCGGTTTTGGAAATTTTATATCTGTTTAGAAATATCTGCTTTGGGCTATCGGTGGAGGATAACTATGATTATTGTAGAAATTGTATGAGGATTAGGTGAATTGAAACCAAATTTTCATCTATTTGCATTGAGCATTATCATATCTTGATACATTGTACATGTATAATGATTTTGAGAAAAATAGATGAACGTGAAAAAGATGTGTGTATCATCAAATCAAGTTGGCCTGCGTGTCCAGGGTGAAAGTCCCAAAAAATGCGCGTGTACATGGGTACTAGTTCTTGCGGATGAAATATCCGTAAAATGGCAATAGTAGCGCTTGTATAGGCTATGTTTACATGGGTGTCGTTTGACGGTTTCCCGCGGACAAAATATTCGTGAAAGGTTGTACCAATTTGAAATTTCTCCATTGTTTTCTATTGTAAAGGACATAATTTGATAATTGTGATATAAACTGAGCATGACATGGTTTTTGGGAAATAAGTGTAAGACATTTTGGTCATAACCATTGCATATGTATGTCACCCTTATATCTTTATTAAGATTCATATATTGTATTGGATTATTTCTACTAGGCTTTGGCTCACCCTATATGGGGAAAGCCATTTTCAGGTGTTGGTGAGATGCCTTTGCCAAGGCAATAGCTTGGGATGATTGGAACAAAGAGCTTCATTTTGTTTACTTGTTGATATTATTTTATACAAGCCTAGGGCTTTATCTGTATTGGATTTAAATTTATTTTGATGTAACCAAGTACAGTCTTGAAAAATTGTAACCTTTAGGGCATTTCAATTATTTGTTCGACTTTTATTTCATACATTTGTTGCTGACACACGTTATAGATTTATGGTTAGGACTTATGAATGTATATTCGCATGTGTCATCCTTTTGTACAACTGAATCTTATGTAATGGAAGGATATTATACTCTGATTTATATATTTATTATTTATCGTCGTAGATGGTTTATTATATTTATTTCGGAGCGTTACATTTAATCTCAAAGCATTCTGCATTGTGTTTTTCGTATTGTTTACATCTCAAGAATCCAATCAATATTCTGTTTGTTTGGTGAGAAAACGGAAGAAAATGATATTAGTGAGTTGAAGATTTTGATTTTTTATTATGTTTATGATATGATTTTGGAATGATTCCTGAACTTAGCTGAAGATTGAATGGGGTGTAAATTTGGCCCGGCCGGCCCGGCCCATGTCGCGCCTTGTGGGCTCCTGCCAAAATTCGAGCCAGGCCAGGCCAGCCCACGGGTTAGAAAATTAGGTCTAGTGGTATTCGGACCTTGTACAGGTTGGCCAGTTGGCCTGGGCTCGGGCTTGGGCAGGCCTGAACATTTTTTGTTGTTTTTTTTAATTTTTTTTACTAAAATTTTATTATTTTTCACTAAAAAAGATACTGGGACTCGGGCTGGCTGGGCCTTGAGTAGGCCTTAAGTGAGCCAATGCATTGGGTTTTAAAAATGATGGCCCAGGCCTAGGCCCAAGGTCTCGGATTGGGCTCGGGCCTAGACCTAAATGGGCCAAGCTCATCTTGTCCACGGGCTGCAGGCCATTTTTACATAATAGGGCATAGTTGAATGAAGATTCTTGGTTTTTCTTGTACGGTCTTTTGCTAAATCTTTTATCTGTTAAAACAGGTTCATATCTAGAGTGAACGAATGAGAGAAATAGAGAGAGAGAGACAGAGAGAGAGAGAGGTATATATATATATATATATATCTTTGGGTAAATTACATTTTGTATTCCTGCATTTTGTATCCCTGCATTTTGTATCAAATTTTATTTTGGTCTATATATATGAAATCATGGTAGTCAACCCCATGTACTTTTGGTCAAATTCTACTTTTGCCTCTATACATAAATCGTGATAGTCAACCTCTTGTATTTTTACTCAAATCCCACTTTGGCTCCTATACAAGGGTCAATGTTCCTCTTTTGTTACTTTATTTTTAAATCTTTAACAAAATTCAGTCATGTTACAAAAATGTGACTACAAAATGAGGGTAAAAGAAAAAAAATCATCAATATTTTTCACCAATACACTTTGTCCTGCATGATAAGCACATGAGAGTTATATAATATAATATATATATATATATATATATGTATATATATTTGTTTGTATGGTAAAAATTAGGATGAAAAGGCAAGAAAGTAGACATTTTGAAATTAAAAAAATGCGACAAAGAAGTCAAAGATAAAGAAAAATAAATAGACAGAAGACTACATTACCGTAAAAAAATAGAGTTTCATGATTTCAATTTATATAAAACCCTAGTTTATCTTCTTAATTATTCACAATCTACGTTTTATTTTAACCTAATATAGTTATCTTTTGAAGTAAATTTTAGGATAAAGTATATATCGGTAAAAAATGTAGACGATTTTCTTTTCTTACATTCATGTCATAGTCACATTCTTATCACATGACTAAATTCTGTTAAAAATTTAAACAATTGAGTAACAGAAATGGAATATTAATACTCGTATAGGGACCAAAGTGAAATTTAACCAAAAATACAAGTAGTTGACTGTCACAATTTCATGTGCAACGACCAAAGTAAAATTTGACTAGCAATATAAAAGGTTAACTATTATGATTTCATATGTAAAGATCAAAGTGAAGTTTAATTCAAAATGTAAGGATGCAAAATGTAATTTACCCTACACCTTTTCAAGTTTAAAGTATATTAAATTTTGCATTCCGTCAACTATATCATAAGAAGTATTGAACAGGTTAGTAATTTATCAATTAAAAAAAAAAACTTGTTGATAAATTCAATTATACAAGCTTGATTAACTATTTTACAGCTATTTACAATGACCACTACAAAAATAATGGTCATTGTTAAGTAACTCTGAGTGAAGTTTGATACAAAATCAAGTGCTGAATCTCTCTCTCTCTCTTCTATACATATTTACAAGTTCAAAGGCTACCTCTGCAATCGAGGGGTAGATTTTCCAACCAAGAATCATCCAAGAGAGGAGGTGAAGATTCAGATTCAGTGGGCCACTCAGTGCTAACATCTATTTCATCATAAATAATGGACTTACATTTCCCATCCCTACTTCTAACAATTGCTTGCAACCACAAATTGCAGTGTACAAAAACCAGATCACTAAATTTATCCATCTCTAAAGAATTGCATTTCTTGCTGTGTATGCTCTCAAAAGTGCTCCAGTTCCATCTACACCAGTGAGAACTACATGGTTGGCTCAGTATCCGTATTGCAGCTCTTTGCAGTGTGGGGATTTCATAACCATACGCTGACCACCAATCACCTAAGGACACACAATGGCGAATCAGTGCGAAGTTTTTCAGGAGAACAGTGATAATTATCTTCAAAAGATGAGGGAACATGAAGCCTGAATTGAGCCTGTTTGTCGTTGTTTATTTTAAACTGAAAGTTGATGATCTATAAACCAAACCAAACCAAACCAAACCAAACCAAGCCTTAAGTTGATGATCTATAAGCAAAATAAAAAATATTCCTCTCCAATACGAGGATAATTTATTTTTCTTTAGTTTATTTAAGCTATTTTTACTGCATAGGCTATAACCAAAGCTACACCAAACAATCTGGTATAAATCTTAAAAAAAAATTAAAAGAAAAAAAAGAAGCTATAAAACGTCCATTTTGCAGCAAAACAGCACCAAGGGCCTACTTGGTGCAATTTTTGAAAGCTGAAAGTTGATATTGAAAAACAAAGAAAGAAAGAAATACTAAAAACACCCCTACCATGGCTTTCTGATAATCAACTTTTTATTTTAGTTATTTTTATGTCTTAATCCATCATACATTGTGAACAGATTCCCCCCAAAATAACCATAAGCTGCACCAAACAGGCACATAGAAGGGGCTTCCAAAGGACATCTCATGGGTATCAATGACTCATTGGAAATATTCATATAACACACGCCCTTTTTCCTGTAAATATTTTAATTTATGATCATCATGAATACTACTTAATGGTAGCATAAATATATCAATGTTGGAATCACACTGGTTGGTGTATCATGGTGTTTTAGGTGCATAATTTAATCAGAAAACATTAATGGTTTTTACTCGGCATTTTCCTCAAACATGGGATTCCTCTAAAGAACAGAATGTGGACATGGAAATTAAAATGCAAGGCAACACATACATACCTGGGGCATTTAGCGTTCTTCCCATGATCGCAAACTCAGTGCCAAGAGCACCTTGAGCATTTATGTACATGGGATGCTCTTTGGTTATTTCTATTTTGTCCTCCTCTGTAGCCATTTTCATCATGGCTTCTTGAAACCCGTTCCTCATTCTCGAGTCAACTTTAAAGTTGAGGCTGTAGAAAATAGACGGATTCAAGAATGCTGCTGCTGCATGTAATGGCGAGTGAAGCTGCAGATTCCATCTGCCATCAATTATATCCCAGATCGGAACATATTTTTCTTCAATGCCTTTATAGAATGCCTTGATGGAGACCTTTGCCCTCTCTATTCCCTCAAATACATAGCCCATTGCAGGCATATCCCCATCTAAAATCCTTAGGATTTTAACCAACGGCTCAGAAACACTTACTGCTTCATGTGCAGACTTCCAAAATCTCTCCAAATACAACAAGGACTTAATAGCTTGGGCATCAGGGCGTCTACTATACGACGATGACAACCACTCTGGGTGAGAAAACATGTGTTTCAAATTATCCTCCTGAATCACAATGGACCTCAAGGAGAGGAAATTAGTGACGAATCTAGTAATTCTAGCCCTAATCAATTCTCTTCCTCCTGTGAACTTTCTCATCATATTTAGAATCCCCACATGACTGTAAAGGTACCTTGTGATGGTATTTGCCTCTTCCAAGACTGTACTTACCCATTCTTGTTTGCTGAAATCTTCCAACATCTTATTAATACAATGCGAAGCACACGGAAACCAGAACAATGAAGAGTACTTGGCCATGAGAAGCCTTCCCGCGTAAACATAGCTAGGAGTACTATCTGTTATTACTTGTACAACATTTTCTATACCAACCTCCAAAACAACCGACTCAAGCAGCTCAAACAAGTAATGCGCATTATCTGCATGGCCAGACACATCAACGGACTTTAGAAATAATGCACCTTTAGGGCATGTAGCTGAAAAGACCACAAGCGATTTGGTCCTACCATCGGACCAGCAATCACACAAGACCGTGCAACCTGTTTCCTTCCATTCATCTCTTAATTTCTTGTAACACTCATTTATATCTCCTTTCACTTTTTGCAAAAGCGTGGACCTAAAATTTTCGTAACTGGGTGGTTTATAGCCCACCCCACACTCTGCCACAGCATCCACCATTTCCTGATAAGACATGGACTTAGCTGCACTAAAAGGAATAGAATTGTGAAAGAAAAATACAGCAATCTTCTTATCAGCATTGTCCTGCTTTTGCTTTTGAGCATCATCAACAGTTGGCTGTGGACTGGGAGAGGGGCATGGGAAAGATGGACACGTGCTTCCACGCTGCCCACTGGATCCATGGTTGGGATGAGCACCGCCACTAGCAGAGGAACTATTTTGCTGACCATTGGCTGCCCGATCCACCTTTAGTTTCTTGGGGGTTTTATGTTTCTTGGGGGTGCTTAATAAAATCTGTATCTGGTCCCGCACGTTGTCTGGTACTTCAGCACAAGGAATTATATCTTTGTTTCTAATTTGAGCTAAGTGAAACTTCATCCTATAAACTCCCCCACTGAACTCCCGTTGACAATAATTACACTTAACCTTCTGTCTTGTTGCATCAACAAGGACACAGTGTTCCCAACAGGCATCTCTACCTCGTACCATTATCTTGGACTGACTATTGTAAGATTCCCTATTTTTCCACCAAATGCAGATAAATATATCAGAAACATAAATTAGAAGCTTTGAAACTAAAAATGCTGTCAATTTTAATGACTTTAAAGGGAAGATAGTTTAAATTTGCATGCTGACACAAAGACCATAAAAATTGAGATGGTAACTAAGCCAAAGAATTAAAAGGTAGCATACAGGTGTTAGGTAATAGAACAAATGATCAAGAAAGCCAGAATCTCAAGAAAAACAACTAGGTCAAATTAATGACTGTTGTTTTACACAGGTTAACCAGGGTCTACCTGCCCCTTTCCCTGTTTGGCTGTCACAAAATTGTTCGCATCCACATTGTACATAACCTACAGCAAAAGGAATTTTATAATATAAGCTTATAAGTAATAATCCATGGCATGCATACACCATATGCATTCAGCAGAAAGGTTTGCACATGATGGATGGAAATCACCTCTCATTTTGGCCCAAGATTAATGTCGGATGGAATATTTAAAAGTTATGTTGAATTTGTTCCGCAAAAATGCTTTTTTGATTAAATAGCCAGATAAATGAAAGCAAAATTATTAGGATAAGAAAATAAGGCAGCATCTGATTTCATAAAATTTCTTTTTCAGTTATTAAAACTGAAATATTTCAACTGAGAACAAATTATTGTTGAGCATTCTTTACAAATGTTGTCTCCAAAAACTGCAGCAGGACTCGTCCTGCCTAACAATTCCATGGGTATTTGAAATTTTGATAATGGTCCTTGATGAAATAACTAATAACTGAGATTGTCACACGGTCTTGGGTAGAACTAAACCCCAAAAGCTAGCTCAAGAGTGAGGGTGTCCTCACACTTATATGCTTGATATTATTTTAGTAATTGGGCAATGTGGGACTTTGCTTCACACCCTCCCGCACGCCCAGTACGCTCACATGGCAGCACCTGCAGCGTGCAGGCCAGTGACATGCACCCTACCCATCCCTAAGTATTTTGGCTCCTATACCATGTTACATGGTCTTGGATAGAAGTCAATCTCAAAAGCTGGCTCAAGAGGTGAGGGTGCCCTCATACTTATATGCTTAATATTATTTTAGTACTTGGGCGATGTAAGACTTCGCTTCACAGTAACATGATAGAATCTTAAACCTAAATTCTGCCCAATAGATTAATCCATCATAGCTCCACGCCAGCATAAGCAAAACACCTATAGACTGTGAGTGATGCTTATGTCAGATGGCAACATCCTGTCACCAATAAAAGGTATATACCTTTAACCCACTCTGATGCATCCTCTTCTGATCAAAAGAGTGACATACTCAACTGATAATATCTGTTTAGAAGGGAAAGGGTATAACTGTTGAACTGAACTTAGCGATTTTAAGGTAATCAACATATTATGAAATGCTCATTCATGTTTATTCTAAAGAAAGCTTTTCCTCACTCTTATTGGGTCAGAGAAATGAACCTCCCATCAAGGGTTTTAAGCATGCAGATAGAGGTCATTAATCCTTAACTGTTGTAATTTGTATGCTAAAAGGCCAACAATATTTCAAGCTGTTGAGTAGCAATAAGTCTCATTTTATAACAAGCAAGAACAACTTATTGCAGCCCGTCATTGGTATGACAATTACAAAAAGAGATTGTCTGGTAACATGTTCAAATACCCAATTCCACCCATTTTCATGTCATTCCTCGATTTTGAGCTCACAGACCAGAACTCCAAGTTATGACTTAAATAAAGCTACTAATAGTTATTCTGTTGCCTTCATAGAGACAAACATAATACAAAACCAGAAGAGGAAGATAATGATAGCAGAAAAAGAGCCAACGAAGTAGAAGCTCAAGAGTGCTCCAATGTATTATTAGTATTAGAAAGCAGTAACTTACTAAAACTAATTATATTTTGCATACCAAAAAAAAAAAAAAAAAAAAAAGGTTTAATTTTTTAAAATAAATGTGATCATTATCTCTCTCTCTCTCTATTCGCTCATCTCTATCTTCTCTCACTTTCTCCAATTATTATTTCAAGAGTAATCCTTCAATCTTTAAGAAGTAATCTCTATCCCAAAATTTTCTCAAACTGGATTCTTCTCAACCTGCTCCCTATTTTATTTTATGATTTTTTTTTTTTCATTTCTAAAAATGTAATTTCTAAACACAATCTTGACCATAATATCATCACAGTTCAATAAGTGACCACTACTGTCTAAAAAATGTTCCTATTTCCTAAATAATCCAAATTTTCACTGGTTTATAGGATATGACAGTTTCAACAGCTACTAGGTAACAAATTGAAGATAGTACAACCCCAAGATCATAAATTGAAAGTCATAATCAATTTGAAAGCATGAGAATACAATAATACATACAACATATATATATAGAGAGAGAGAGCGAGAGAGAGAGAGAGAGAGAGAGAGAGAGACCTGATTAGAGAGAGATTGTTTGATGCGGTGATTGTAGGAAGCTGACGGTGACCGGAGTCGCCGGAATCTGGAAATCTGGACGGAGAAAGTGAGATCGGCGATGGAGATATCCGAGGAAATGAAAACCACGGCGATAAATTAATCGGTCCACTCCACTCCTCGCCAAATCCAAGCCGATTTTCGAAGGCGAGGACTCAGCGACTCTGCTTGCAAATCGTGTTCGTGTCACGTGCTCCCTACGTGACTCACGCGTGGCACCTTTCATTTCGAATCAAAACCCATTTTTTACTTTTAAAAAGAAAACATTTTATGATTCAATTGTGCTGAGTAGTGTATGTAGTATTTAAAAATATTAAATATAAATGTAATAAGGAAAATGCCTGGTAGTTCGAAGCTACCAGGCTCGAGAGGAAGAGAGGGAGAGAAATAGAGGGAGAGGAGAAAGAGAAGGGAGGGAGAGGAAGAAGGTCGGCGTCGTCGCAGCCCCGCCCTGCCGTCGTCGCAGCTCCGGCCGCCGCTGCTGCTTCCTCCTCCGTCTCAGCCCCTCCTCCGTCGCAGCCCAACCTCCCCTCCTCCTCAAACCGGTTTTTATGGCCCCCTCCCCTCCCTCCTCCTCCTCCTCCTCCTCCTCCTCCTCCTCCTTTCGAAGGCGAGGACTCAGCGACTCTGCTTGCAAATCGTGTTCGTGTCACGTGCTCCCTACGTGACTCACGCGTGGCACCTTTCATTTCGAATCAAAACCCATTTTTTACTTTTAAAAAGAAAACATTTTATGATTCAATTGTGCTGAGTAGTGTATGTAGTATTTAAAAATATTAAATATAAATGTAATAATTATTAGTATATTAAAATAATTTAAATTGTTAAATTATATTTATATTATATGTGGAAAAAAAAGTTGGTACCATATATACTTTATAACTAAAAAAAAAAAATTGACACAATTTCATATTTTTTTTGTTATAACTAAAAAAAAATCATAATCAAATACAAAAAAAAAGTCATAATCAAATATGTTAAAATAATGTCATAAGTAAAGAAAAAAATTAGTTATAACTAAAGGAGAAAATAACGTAACTAAGGATACATATAGTATGTAGGTGTGTATAGTAGAATTTTCTATTATATAAATAACAAGAAATACTATAGTACATACCCTTCAAAGAGTATGTATCATATACACCTATATAACTAAATAAGAAAATAATACAATTTTACATTTCAATAGGATTTTATGAGAATTAAGTCCAATTATTAGGACATATTAGTAATTTATCCATAAAAATATATCATAACCAAACACAATACGAGCCATAACAAAAAAATTTATGAGCCATAATTAAAATAATGTCATAACGATAGCGATTGGTAGCTCGAGAGCTTCGGCTCGAAATTGGCTCAAAAAGTGAGAGAGAAGGAGGAGGAGGGAGAGGGAGAGGCTGGAGGAGGGCGGAGGAGGAGGAGGAGGAGGAGGGACTGGAGGGGGCCAACATATCGGGGTGGAGGCGGAGGCGGGGGCGGGGGCGAAGGCGGAGGAGGGGCGGAGGCGCGGAGGCTGCGACGACGATCGGCCGATGCGGGGCTACGACGATCGGGCAGAGGCGACGGCGGAGGGCTGCGACGGACGACCTGCCTCCTCTCTCTCTCTCTCTCTCTCCCTCTCCCTCTCCCTCTCCCTCTCCCTCTCCTCTCCCTCTGGTTTCAGACCAGCACGACGAAGAAGAAGAAGGAAAAAAAAAAAAAACAGCCCAAAATGACGTCGTTTTGGGCTGTCGAGCCGTTCGAGCCAACCCACTCTCGAGCTACCACGCATTTTCCATGTCATAATTTAAAAAAATTAATTATAACTAAAAAATGATATAACTAAAAGTACATATAACACACTCATTTTAAAAAATATGAATGTTAAAAAAATTTCATAAATAACCTACCACAAAATCTTCACGTAATCAATTTTTATCTCTGTTAACTTTAAGGGAATTCCATCCCGTGTAAACATCTAGATAATCTAAATTTTTTTAATAAATTAATTAACTTAGTTGCCAATATATATATACATATATATCAAATTTATGGACAATCAGGGCTTTAAGTTGGATCCAATTTGGACCCATAATCTTGAGTTTCAAGTTGAGGTTAGGTAACTTCTAAGACCATCTCTAATAATTATTTAAATCTTTTATCAAATTTAAATTTAATAAAAAATTAAGTTTTTTTTACTGCTCCAACAATTGTATGGAATAAGTATCAAATTGAAGATTTTACTTTTTTATGATTGAAATGAGGACTAATGTACCTTTCATCAAATCACTGTTTATTACTGTGTCGGTATTCTCCGAACGTCTCCCGAATGTCCTTTTAGATGACCACCTCAAGGCAAAAATTTATAAAAAAAAATTGCATTGGCCGGTCGTTCACTAGCTCGACCACCTGAAGGCCAAAAAAAAAAAGAAAGAAAAAATTATAGTGGCCGGTCGATCGGTATTCTGATGAAATTCTAAAATCCTCCGTTAGAACACTTGATATTAAAAAAAAAATTTACTTAAATTTTTATTCTAATTTGATGAATCGTTAAAAATATGCCAACACAATTTGAATTAGATTTAAACCACCTCTCAATTTGATTAAACCCATCTAATATGGATGATAAATTATTCGGTAAAATGATTTTGTGTCTCCGTAATTTTTCTTTTGGATTAAAATTTGACTACATTTGTTTCTCCTTGTTGAATCAAGTTTGATTTGATTTGACAAGCAAAAGTGTCCCCAATGTTTCACAAATTGTTAACACCTAATAGCTTCTTTTCAAATGTTTACAGTTAGATTTTTCTTTGATGTCGGCTACTATGATCATAATGTCAAAAAGGGCATTTGGCTCCACTTTCTTCGGGCTTTATCCACTTCATTTGGGAAGTATTTTTTTAATTTGATTTTTTTAACTCTTTAATTATTTTAATTTGGTTAAAAAAATTTGTTTAGAATAAATTTTTTAATTTTTTTATAACTTTGTGAGAAAAAAATAAAATTATTATAATTTAAATTTAATATTTTATTTTATTAATTTTTTAATTTATTTTTAATAAATTAAATTAATCCCAACGTCAAACGAAGGCATCATATACTTGTTTTTCAACCGTGACTTGAGAGTTGCACACACTGTTTATGTGGGATTCACAGTCGTAAAAGACAAAAATAAAATAGTAACAAGGAACCACAAAGTCCATTGATAAGGCTCACTAGGCCTCACCATCATCACTTCTTCACCTAACCAAGATGTCGGCAAACTAAACAATTGATAGTGCCCTCTCAATATCATCCAATATCAAATGTTGTTGTCCCAAGCATGAAGCACTTTCTTGCTACTTTTCTTGCACAAATTTGCATCCTTATAATTTAAAACTGTAAAATATTGGTAATTTTATTTTTACACATTATTTATGTTTTGTGCACATATTAAATAATTTTTTTAAAAAAATTTTATCATTAAACAAAATGAGTAATATAGACATCAATACTCATACCAAACCTTAAGATTAGTTTTTTTAGTAGATATCTTTTGAACATGAAAATTCTTGGTACACATCTTTTACAAAAATAAATACATCAAACTAAAAATATGTGAATAGAGAGAATGAAAAAAATTAAAATCTCATTCGAAAAAAGATAATTGAAAATATGTAAATAGTTCAAAACTATAAAATCGAAAATATATAAATGGTTCAAAAATACGGATTTAAAAACATAAATTTAATTCTGCAGTATAGTTATGAAAGTTTTTCTATGATTTGGTAGTTGTATGTTGAAAATTAATATATTATTTAAAAATACAGAACCAAAATTTATTATTTTATTTGGTTGTTAATTGCTGAATTTTTTAAATTTATTCAGATAACTAGTACCAATAATTTTCCTTCCCTTCCTCAGTCAATACCAAATGAATAACAAAAATAATAAAAATTGTTAGAGAGTGTCAAAAAATGCCATGTGTGTAGGGTACAATTTAAATTTACGTCTAGGGTGTGGCGTGAATTTATGTTTTTTTGTGGTGTGTGTACATATAATGTGTTGAGTTTTTATGTTGATGTGTGCATATATTATATCTTGGGGGTATATTTGAAACATTTAGTGTGTGGAATGAATAAAATAAAAAGTAAACAAATTTATAAGTATATGCACTAAGAAATAATATGCACAAAAAGTAAACGGTGTGTGAAAATATAATTACTCCTAAAACAATTTTCTTCTCTAAATAAATTTCAAAAGCAATTTAAAAAAAAAAAAAAGAGGCCCAATTAAAGGTTGCTAATGATTTGTTTTGTACATTGATATGCTCTCGAAGGCTTTCAAATTAGTCATGCCCAAATCGTCATTAGTCCAATTGGCACAAACCGACACTAGTCCACAACACAAGAACCTGCAATAGTATCAACAGGGCTGGGCTTGCCTCCAGCCCATCATTTTTTCTGGTCTAGTCTACCCTATTGAGCTGATTTTTAGGTTATTTTTCGATAATTTAAATTATTTATATTTTAAGATTTGTTGAGCACATTATTCTTATAAAAAATCACGTCGATCAGATAACGAATATTATGTATTCAGATCACTTTTTATGAACCATTAATTTTCTAATCGTTCATTTTTTTTCAGACAAACGTAATCCGAATACATAGTATCCGTTATCTGATTGATGCAAATTAGACACAATTACTATTAGTAATTTATCCTATTAGACACAATTTTGGCAGATTAGATGACACATTTTGTTGACATGAAGTTTCTATTCAAAGCATGACAAGAGGGTCGAGCAATCCTCGCCCAACAAGTACATGATCGTTGATAAGGTTAGGGAAACCATTCTCACAAGATAATGACAAGAAAAATGCATTACAGTTGTTTCAGCCTAAAAAAACAGAATATCAGACATTTGAAATGTATGATGCATAGTTACAAAATTTGAAATAGCAAAAAGCAACAAAACAAAACAAAACAAACTGAAGGTATGCAATTACAAGTCACTGCTACAGTAAGTTGAATCATAAGAAGACCAGAGTTTGGGACCAAAAGAACATCCAATCAAGCCGTGTTTTGGCATAACTCGCCAACTCCTAAAAATTCAATGGGCACAAGCCACTGGTCTATACATCTGTGAATGAGACCACAGTTCCAAGATGTAGAAAAGTGAGAAAAAATAAAAATAAAATCTTCCAGTGACTTTTAGAAGAACGCTAACAGAGCAATTAACCTAAAGCATGGGAACAATAATTTTGGTTCATTAAAATACTTGTGACAACGTGACACTCAAACTAACAATT